TGATAATTATAAGTATTTAATTTTTAGACTTTGTATGGTAAAACCCAAAATGTATTACCGCGATAATCATAAACTTAATGGTTTTTGTTAAAACCGCTACGTCACTACAGTAATTATGTTATCTACTTTAGACTCTAGTAGTTTAATGTTCAGTATCGTTGTACACGTTAGTTGTCTTAGTGTCTTCGGGTCACCGTCTGGCTGTCAAATATAGATTGCCGAACAGTGGCGTGGCGTGAGTTGTGAGAGTGTGTAAGCAGTAGTACATATTATAATTCCCCCCCCCCCCACCCTCACACTGATACCAATAAATTAATTTACTTACATATTTTAGAATTTTATTAAAAAAAAAAAAACTTCTAATAAATAATAATAACATTTATTTATATGTCAAATCGATTATTCTTGTTTTTTTTGTGAACTCGTCAATTACATCATCATAAAATGAATTTTGATTTTGAAGTGTAGTCAACAATCGTTTCTCAATTGTTAAAAGCGACAGATCTGAAAGTCTATTTTGGGACTGGGAGTTTCTGAGATGCGTCTTTATTCTTTTCAAACAGGAAAATGAGCGTTCAGCGCCTGCACTTGTTGCTGGAATGGTTACAATCAATGATGCTAATTTTGTAACTTGTGGTAAGCTATCTGATAAGTCAGTAGATTTGAGATACATCCAAAGTTCATGAATGTTTGCTTTATGAAATTCAGTAGATGAGTATATAATAGAAAGTTCACTTCGTAAAATTGCAAAATCAAAATGTTCACCATATTTATCTTTCAACGAGTCCATTGAATTTGTAGGAAATTTATTGACATACTGTTCAAATTTTAAAAAATCTAATAAAGAAAAAAAAAGTCAGTTGAGTTATCTCTGCAAATCTTTCATTAGTTTTTGAAATTAATACGTCAATGATTTCAAAATAGAGTCTTCGGTAATTTGTTTTTCTATCTACAACTGATACTTGAGTCACCCTTTGCCTTTTTGATCTTAACGGTAAATCTGTATGATACTGTTCCGATTTCAACCAAATGCGTTCAAAATCATTTTTCATATTTTTTAAATGATTTAAAAAATCAAATATTTTTGTTTGTATTTTATTACAATAAGTCACATCAAATATTTTTGTTTGTATTATATTAAAAAGTATTGTTGCTTGAGGTAAAATATTTCCAAATATTAAAAGAAAAAAATTGAAGTCAAAATCTTGAATTGTTTGACAAAATCCTTTAGCGCACAATAACGTTTCACTATCCCATTTCTCACCATTTTCTACGATCGAAATCATGAGATTTAAAACTTCTTCTTTGTACTCAGACATCATTTCAATAAGTCTACTATTATAATTCCATCGTGTTGGAGCCACAGACGGAAATCTTTTTTTGATTTCTTGATCAAGTGCGTGAATTCTTTTTGTTGATTTTGAAAAAAATGATGAAAGTCCAGAGAGCGTAGTGAAAAATATTTTACATTCTTTTATATAATCGACGGATTATTTTAATATTAAATTTAGTTTTTGAGCATAACAATGTACAAAAATCGCGTTTTTACATTTTGAGCGAACTAATGTCTGTAACCCGTTATGTTGTCCTGACATGACAGCAGCCCCGTCATAAGTCTGTGCAACTAATTTATCTATGCATTTATGTTAATATAATAAACGAAAAACATGTTCAGCTAAACACTTAGCAGATCGATCATGACTGACATCTACAAATCCCAAAAATTTTTCTTCAACTCCTTCATTAGTCACATATCGTAAGATTGTAGATAACTGAGATTTGGACATGATATCTGTTGTTTCATCCATAATTATAGAAATGAAATTTGTATGTTCAATTTCGTTTTTGAAAGTTTTTAATAAGATATTAGAAATAGATTGAATGAGATCATTTTGTAGGTCTCCAGAAAGTCCAGAAAAAACAGTAGATGTCGAAAGATGTCCACTTAATTTTGGATCGAGTGTACCCATTAAATGTATTAACTCAACATAATTTCCCCTGTTAATAGATGTGACTTGTTCGTCATGTCCGCGAAATAAGAGCTCTTGTTTTGCCAAATAACATGTTGCATCAATTAATCGACTTAAAACGTACCTATTATTTTTAACAGACTCATTATGTTTTTCGATACTTTGCTTATATGCTTCACTAAGACATGTTTCTATTCTAATATTGCCAAATTTCTTTAAAATAATTAAAGATTCGATATGAGAGCGATTTATTTCATGTCGATGTTTTAAATTATGATAATTGTTTAAACCACTGCAGCCATACTTAGACCAAGTAATAGATTCATGCGAAAATAAAATACACGGCCAGCAATATAATTTTTGAGTTTTTTGACAACCAGACAACCATTTATTAGTATTATAATAAGAGGGATTAAAGTGACGAAAATTATTTTTACATTTTGATTTTAAATATTGAAGTGTTGGTGTAGGTCTCCCTTTATTTATAATATTTTGCTTTTCAATAAAAGTATTTGATCCAAACGATTTTAATAGTAATTTTTCAATAATACAATTACATTCGTTATTACCTGAAGAGCTTGTCGAAGAGTCCATTTTTCTATAATACATTAAACATTATTAATAAAAACGTAGTGTTGTAGACGCACGTTGCATTAGCATTCAATGATCGCTATTCGCTGTCACACGGTCGCGTACGCATTATGAAAAATGCTTACGAACTATGTAATAATACGTGCCCCCTCCTATTGTACTTTGCCTATTTCACTTTAATAGGCTCGCGTAAGCAGTTTCAATTCGCATTACATGATGAATAGTATAAATAAAATAATATGAAAATAAATCGCTGATAATACTATGGGCATCGATAATGTAGACGGTGTGAATGATGGCGCGGCGGGCGGTGGCACGTACATTACTATATACTTGTGAAGCAACCATCAAACATGTTACGCGCATCCTAAAAATAAATGATAACTTTTATTAAATTGATTATTTGATTTGATTTTATTCAAAAAAACTTTTTTTCCTCTTTTCAAATGTAAGCAGTGCTTACAGTGCTTACATGTACGCTACGCCCCTGTTGCCGAATTCCGTTCGTGTAAAATAATTAAAATATTTACTTTGTTTTGGTTAAATTAATTGGTGTAAGCTATTTTTCTCGTGACGACATAATGCCACCAACACGGAGTGGTAAACGATTATGTAGATTTACAGAAAAATTGCAAAGTGAATTCACGTTTTTGAAAAAAGTTTGTAACGATAACGATTATGATGTGTACTGCACAATTTGTTCGAGTTCATTTTCCGTTAGTCGTGGAGGTCGGGCAGATATAACTGATCATTTAAAAAGAAATAAACATAAAACGGCAAAACAAGCGGCTACATCCAGTTCAGTCAGTAATTATTTTACACCTTTAAAAGCAAATGATAACACATTAAAACTTGCAGCAAAAGAGGTAACTTTTGTGTACAATTTTTCATTCTCAGAGTTTTAATTCAATGACGTGTACATCAACTTTAATTCGTAAGCTATTTGACGAAAAAAAATTCACAGCTGCTCGAACTACCCACATAACACACAAACTTTTACTAAGCATTTCATAAATATTGTAATTCTGATGTTCATAGTTAAATAAATATTTAGCTTTGATTGAATTATGATCGTTTAAGTGTAGAATAAACCTTGCATAAATCTCATTTGAACCAAAAAAATAGATTGAATGAACGCTTATTCTGTAATGTTATCTGTACGTTGTTAAGTAAATATCTATTAAACCTTACTTCTTGGTTGGAATTATGTTCATACAAGATTTAACCTACATTAAATCTATTGTAAGTCAATCAATATTTAAGATTTATTAAGCTTTTAATTCTTATTTTCAACATTATAATAATGAATTAATTTTGTTATTTTTTTTATACCTATTATTAATTAAGGTTGATTTCACCTTAAATTATGGATTAATTGATATTTTTTTTTAGCTTAGTTTAATTTAAACTATAATTATTTATTTATGTATCTATATCTTTTGTAATATAAAGTTAACTATTTTACTTTGAACAGTACTTTCATATTATTTGAAAAAGAATCATAATTATTATAAAAAAGAGTACCAACAAATAATAAGTCATCATATTCTATAACAAAGAAACACAATTTTAGTAATAATATTTGTAGGATTTAGGAATGTAATATAGTAAGTATTTACTACTTCATACATACAAATAAGAACTTAAAAAGTATATAAAAAAAAGATAGACAAACCTACTGTAATATCAGTGCATAATATATTATATATCATTAAAAAAAATACACAAATTTGTATTAAATAAATAATAAACATTAATCAGTATTGTAATTAATAATGTAATTATTAATGAAACTCTTAGAAATAATTATAATAAAAAAAATATGCTGTAGGTATAACATTAAAACCGAAAAAAATTAAAAAAAAAAATTCAATCACTAGTTTTATTCTTAATCTTAAATGGGGTCTGGATAAGAATATACTTTATAACTAAACTATTTTTCAAATGAGAACGCACCGCGTCGCGCATCGTTATCAGAAGCGGGCCACACACCACTCCCACAAAATTAGTAATTCTTTTCTAATTAGTCGCCATCGGTCGGCTCCTATCGACGCCGGCGTGCATACAGAGAATTGAAGTATTAATTATTTTCTATCACATCATACTGTCGTACGCCACAGAATATTATTTTTTTTATACGCAAATACATAAACACTTACGGATTATTATTATTCATGATTAATTGGTGTATTTCTTATAAATCTACCTATTGCATTATGTTATTTTATTATAGATGGATAGGTCAATATATTTTATTATTTTATTTCAATGTATTTTAAAAAGTACAGAAATTCATTTATTTAATATTTGTTTTAATATTACACATAATTTTAACAAGTACAGAAAACCATTTGTTTAATATTTCTTTTTTTATTACACATAAAAAAAATCAAAATTTAAAAAAAACATAAAAATATAATTAATCAGACTCGAACTCGGTAGAGGAATTACCAATATTAATGATGACAGGTTCTACTTCTGCGGACAGCATTTCGTCAACAATGAAATCCATGTCGTAAAATTTTTTTTCAATTTTCTTGGTATGACTAATGAAATTTTTCCACATATTGGCATCTACTCGTTCGATACCTTCCAACAACAAGTTTTTTACATCACCTAATTTGTAGCTGGTATTATTTATTTTGACGTGGTGTTTGACTGATGACCAAGCTCTATTGGATTTAGCTCACAATGATATGGCGGGAGTCTTAAGATGGTGCGGTTGTGTTCTTTGGCCATTTCGTCTATAACGTATTTTTCGTGCATTGGTCTGATTTTCTCTACCATTTTAAGTAGTCGAGGAATTACCATAGGCTTGTCGATTACTTGACCTTTGATATGATGCGTTATCCATAATGATGACACAGTTTTCTTTTAGTCGCGGTAATATACTTTGCATCCATTCTGAAAATGTGTCACCATTCATCTCATCATGATAATCATTTGTGTTTTTTTTTGATTCAAAACATAGGAGTCCACCTGGTACAAATCCGTCTTCCGATCCTATGTGCAAAATAATCAGTCGTTTGCCTTTCCCGGTTGGATTTTTCGCTCCCGATGTTAGGCCCCGAACAAAATCATCATGGCACGATTTAACGGTCTTGTCTACCCATATTTTGTTGGTACATTCTCCGGCATTGACCCAAGTTTCGTCCAAGTAGTACAGATGTCTCCCTTCTTCACGATATTTTTGTATATCCTCCAGGTACTGTTGTCGCCATACAACTATTTCGTCTTTTTCGACAAGGGCACTATTTCGGGCTCGTTTGGTATATTCGAAATCCATGTTTATTAAAAGACGATATAAATTTGTTTCTGAAATATAAGGTAAGCTATCGTCGTCTTTCACAACTCTGTATATTTTGGCCAATGTAGGAACTGTTTTGTTGAACCAAAAGGAGTGTACATGACGACGCACAGTGTTTCTATGTAAATCGTCGAACGCGTCTTTAAACGATTTCTTACAGCGTTTTCTGTTTGGAGATGTTACAGTTTTTGAGGTATTGTACTCACTTATGTGCTCGAAATTGTTCGTTGCCCAATGCCAAGTTGTTTGGAAAGAGTTATCCGACATTCCCTGATCGAAATGTTCGGATTGTTTTTCAACTCCATCTTGTAGGCGTTGATAATCATAATTTTTTGACTTGATGAAACAAACTGGAATAAATAAATGTATGATAATAATAGTATTTACGTTGCAAGTAACATATTACGTTATATATTATATACTTTTCTATAATATAATTAATCACAATAATACTAACCTTTCCCTTTGGATTTTTCTTAGTTGGTGTAACAATTATCTGGTCATCCATAGTTTCGCTGAATAAGCGGTGCACGACAAAAAAAATAATTTAAACGCATAAATTGATACCAAAATGCAATAAATTGGCTGAGCGCTTAAAAACAACAGAATATATCGTTTTACACGTACGAGCGGCCGTCAAGTGTTGTGTTAATACAACTCACTGTGTACACAAGGTGGTACCACTAACGACAACTGAAATTGTCGGGAGTGGGGAGGACGTGCGCGCGTTTCGACCGATTTTTGTCCGCCGCCCGGTGCGTTCTCATTTGAAAAATAGTTTATAGTTCTATTTCGTTGGATGCATTGTCAGACAAAGCAAATTTTTTTATGGTTTTCACGGATTCTAAAAACTAAAATTCATTATAAATAAAAACTTAAATATTGTAATTTAAGTTTCTTACCAAATATAACATTCTTGACCAGTAACTTATCGAAAGGGCGTTTTTTATTCCCGCGGCCATTATAAGAAAATTTACATAATAATTCAGGTGTAAATAGTAAAGTCATAATTCGTTTTACCATACATTTAATAGACTTGCCACCGACTGATGATAAACGTAGACACTGTGCCAGTAATAATTTTACTTAATTAATTCTAATATATAATAAAAAATGTTATTATATTATACTTATATGACATACCAACTGATTCCGAAAATTTTTATCATTAGATAAATCATTTACAAATATTTCAAGCTTTTCTTCATTTTCGATAGGTAATCTACCATCTATAATAAATGTATCAAACACACATGTGTCACGTCCCGCGTAGTCACACGGTAAAACACATCACAAGGAGGTTCCCATGTACATCAAAAACCACAACTATGGATAAGTTTGACGCGGCACACAGGTGGTGGTGGTGTGCGCACGGGTCGCGGGTGTTATGAACCGAAAGTTTAACAAAAAGAAAAAGACAAAAAAAAGAAACGACCTCGGGTTGTTGTGGCACAATATATATGTATATTTAATACGCAGATTAAATAACAAACAAAAGAGAAATAATAATAATAATAATGATGAGAAAAAAACGTACACCGCACAAGATGTCACAATTGAAAAAAAAATAAAATACAGTAAGGTCGGGAACGTGTGAGTAGTGTCTCGGTACACGATCTCGGAAAAACAGCACGGTTATATGGTGGTACCTGTCGGACGTCGTAGCGACCGCTCGCGTCCCCTGACTGGTGATGGATGGGTGGACGGGGGTCGCTGCGGCGTTACGTGCCGCGGAGTGGTGGTTGATGAGAGAGATAAGGACACGGTCGGCGACTGCCGTTTCGATAACGGCTGCCGCACGGGTCCGCGTCAAGTTAGATTATTGTGTTCACGTGGTTATTACACTAGAGATTACAATAAGGAATTAGAATATCGAAATCACAAGCGTGGACAAGTGAAAGGTAAAACAACGTTTTTATGGGAAATTGAAATAAAATAGTTTATTGGAATGATGTGGTGACCACATCCTGGGCATTTGCGTCAATAATTATGTCACGGTCCGGAGATAACGCACACACACTCACAATCTATAGGAAATTATCTTATTTTATTATCGTCTTCATTTACACACACACACTTGGGATTTTACACACACACATGCCATATCACATATAAAAGGGACCCGAAAACAAGGGCAAATCAGACGAGTCTTGTCTATGCTGCACTGAGCACCTTCACGTCAGTGTATGTTATGGTCTGGACTTTTTTTTAATTATTTTATAAGTCATAATTGTTAGGACTTAGATAATTTCTATCACTAGAATATTTACAAAATTGTAGTTAGGATAATTTTTATAAGTTAAATAAAATTAATTATTTTAAAAAGAAGTCTTAATTATTCCTGACTACACTTCCAATCAAGCGTTGACAGAGACGTTGTAACTGAATAATCAGATCGATCGGTTGGCACGTAACACATGAGTCTCTAGTCTTTGCCATAGAATTTCCTTCACCGTTTTGAATAAGTATGTCTAATTTTTCATGAATTGAACGGATTTCATACTTCATTGTTATCATATAATTCAATAATCTTGTATACTGATCATCTGTTAAAAAAAAAAAATGCAAGTAAATACAATATTTCTTAAGTATCTGGTTGGGTAAGATAAAGCAAAAAGAAATATAGCAGCTATATTATTTTGTAAGCCTTATAATAATTATCCTAATGAAGAGTTTATTGTTATTTAAAATTTGATGATGAGGTCTTGAACATACATTTATAATTAAATTTCAATTCAATAATAATAATAAGAATATATTAATCAAAATAATATTTAAAATTATTAATAGGATCATTATTATATATTGTTACCTTTTTGAACAGTTTTTATCTTAGTAGATGAAAATACGTGCTACGTGCCATTGGAAAACTTTCATCTATAAATTATAAGAACATAAAAGTTAAGTAAATAGACACATTTTTATAGTTTTTTTTTTTTTTTTTAAGGACATGCTTAAGATTACAATTGGTACTGTAAGTTGTTTGCACAATTTGACTTAACTATTTAACTTTTAACTACAGTAGACGCTCGATAAGCAAAATTCAAAGGAATGACATTTATTTAGACTCATCAAGTTTCCACTAAAATTCAAATTCAAGTATTGGATAAAATAAAAATGTAATAAACCGTAATTAAGGAAGATATTAAATTTAAGTATAATAAATAACAAACCACACCAGAAAATGAAGTTTTTGAAGACATAATTGGGCTGTTGTTTAAAACAATAGTTTGAGAACCATCGAAGTCCGAAAATATTAATTTTCTGTTAGTTTCTTAAAGAAATACATTAATAAAATCAATTAATTTATAAGAATATAAAATATTAATAATACAATGATAACCAAATATATAATACAAGTAGTACACATCATAAGTAATAAGTAATAATTTGAAGACCAAAAATACTAGAACTAAATACCAGATGATAAATGTGATTTGTCTTTATGAATACTGTTGTCGACCAGTTTTTGAGAAGATGAAGCTGTTGTGGTAGCCAAAGAAATTTTATCTGCTTAAACAATTTAAATAGTTTCATTGATTTATATTTATATATAAGGTAGAAAATTAAAAAATTTATACTAATAAAATATATTAAGATAAACATTACTAGTAGTAAAACCAATGCTGTCGATTACTTTACATAAATAATTAGAGTCTGCAGTAGTGTTTAATATTTCATCATTACTATGAACTGTTGGTGTTACTTTAAAAATACAATAAATATTTTATTAAGAACATGAATAATAAATAGTTTATGTATAATATATATTCTATAGCTACAGATATATTTTAAAAACTAATGAACTATTTACCAAATGAAGAGCCAACAGACATTTTTAAGGGGACCATCCATTTATCGGTTTTTTATAAATTGAATGATTTTTCTCAGTCATATCATAATCATCATATTTACTACACTTAGAAGATCCTTGAATAGTTTTACTAATTTTAAGTTCATCATCTGCATAAAATCCATCAATAAATTAAAGACCTAGTAACACATATGTAATAACAAACAGCTATAAATCATTAATTACCTGTAGAACATAATGGTAAACTATCAGATTTAAGTGAAGTATCGGAAATATCTCCATCTGAAATAAATTAAACACAATAATTTACTTAGTGTTCTAAGAAATTAAAAGAATAACTACTGTTATCAGTACCCTAAAAAAACAGTCCAAAAAAATCAGAGACCACATGGGCCGCAGACCTCACTCACACTGTATAATATAGTCAACGATCATTTATAATAATATAATAATATTTGTGGCACTAAACTTTTGTTTCATTTTCAAATCGATATATAAGTATAGAAATTAATAAATATTTAATGTTTTAAATGTTAAATATATTTATTTTAAAAAATAAAATATTGATTACTACAAGTAAATACATTGACTTTTAGCTTTGGGTAGTTTTATATTATTATAAACATATTAAAAATATGTTGCGTACAATAATGCGTTTAAAATCAAGGTAGTCGCAACGAGTTGGCGGTAGGCGCGATAACGCACTTGTACCGAAAATTTTTTTTTAGTAGAAACTTATTATTATTATATATTTTTAAAGCCATACCTATAGGCAGGTGTCTGGTAAGTATAGTTATTTAAACTGTAGGTAAAATAAAAGTTATACATATTTACCAGAATGTGAACTTGAAGTTGATGCTTTTCGTTGTTTTCTGATTTTCTTTTTAAATTTAGTTTCTTCAGTACATGATGAATTTTTTTATAGCTTTTGCATAACTGTCTACAACATGAACAAAATTACTATGATTACCTAGTATATAACTACTAACTTCTTATACAAAATCATACAACAATGAAGAATTTAAAATATTATACCTACCAATTATACTGGACAAAGCACGAGTTTCAAAAAAATTAAATTCATTTTTATTTGCTTTTATCGTATTTCTTATTGCTCTTTCGACATATATTGCTTTGGTAGATTTTGGCCATCCACAAATACCTTTTTTAACATTAAACCATTTTTGAGGAACCACTTCCACAGTGTCATCCAATATAAAATTAACTACTAGCCACATGGTACAAATTTTTGAAGTACAAAACAAAAAAATATTTTAAATAAAATCTGGAACCATATTATAACAATATTGTGAAATATAAAACTATTATTTTATTGTACATGTATACTTACCAAACCAGTGAAAATATTGTTTTGCTGAGGGTGCAACTATTTAATTTAATTTATAAATTATTCAAAATAAAAAAAATTAATTTTGTAAACAGGAACATACTAATACTAGTGTAGGTATAGATATAATAAATTTACAAACAGCTAAATACACGACACAAGAGACACGAGGCAAGACACTAGAAACAATGATTTTAATGATTTGAGTTCACAACATTAAAAGTGTTGTAAGACACTGTAAATGAATGGGCTGATGTAAAAAGAATCTTAAAGGATAACTTTGAAGTTCCGTACGCAACGGATAATTTACAAACGGAGTTATATTTACTTAAAATGAATAAAGATGAATCTGTATTATCGTACAATTCGAGATTAGAAGAAATATTTCAAAAACTTTGCGATTCACAAACCG